AGTATCTAGGACAGAACATATAGACCTATGTACCTGTAGGGTGTCACTATGGAGAATCCAAGACAGAACATATAGACCTATGTACCTGTAGGGTGTCACTATGGAGTATCTAGGACAGAACATATAGACCCATGTACCTGTAGGGTGTCACTATGGAGAATCCAAGACAGAACATATAGACCCATGTACCTGTAGGGTGTCACTATGGAGAATCCAGGACAGAACATATAGACCTATGTACCTGTAGGGTGTCACTATGGAGAATCCAAGACAGAACATATATAGACCATGTACCTGTAGGGTGTCACTATGGAGAATCCAAGACAGAACATATAGACCTATGTACCTGTAGGGTGTCACTATGGAGAATCCAGGACAGAACATATAGACCCATGTACCTGTAGGGTGTCACTATGGAGAATCCAAGACAGAACATATAGACCCATGTACCTGTAGGGTGTCACTATGGAGAATCTAGGACAGAACATATAGACCCATGTACCTGTAGGGTGTCACTATGGAGAATCCAAGACAGAACATATAGACCCATGTACCTGTAGGGTGTCACTATGGAGAATCCAGGACAGAACATATAGACCCATGTACCTGTAGGGTGTCACTATGGAGAATCCAGGACAGAACATATAGACCCATGTACCTGTAGGGTGTCACTATGGAGAATCCAAGACAGAACAGATAGACCCATGTACCTGTAGGGTGTCACTATGGAGTATCTAGGACAGAACATATAGACCCATGTACCTGTAGGGTGTCACTATGGAGAATCCAAGACAGAACATATAGACCCATGTACCTGTAGGGTGTCACTATGGAGAATCCAAGGACAGAACATATATGACCCATGTACCTGTAGGGTGTCACTATGGAGAATCTAGGACAGAACATATAGACCCATGTACCTGTAGGGTGTCACTATGGAGAATCCAGGACAGAACATATAGACCTATGTACCTGTAGGGTGTCACTATGGAGAATCCAAGACAGAACATATAGACCCATGTACCTGTAGGGTGTCACTATGGAGAATCCAGGACAGAACAGATAGACCCATGTACCTGTAGGGTGTCACTATGGAGAATCTAGGACAGAACATATAGACCCATGTACCTGTAGGGTGTCACTATGGAGTATCTAGGACAGAACATATAGACCCATGTACCTGTAGGGTGTCACTATGGAGAATCCAAGACAGAACATATAGACCTATGTACCTGTAGGGTGTCACTATGGAGAATCCAAGACAGAACATATAGACCCATGTACCTGTAGGGTGTCACTATGGAGAATCCAGGACAGAACATATAGACCCATGTACCTGTAGGGTGTCACTATGGAGAATCTAGGACAGAACATATAGACCCATGTACCTGTAGGGTGTCACTATGGAGAATCTAGGACAGAACATATAGACCCATGTACCTGTAGGGTGTCACTATGGAGAATCCAAGACAGAACATATAGACCCATGTACCTGTAGGGTGTCACTATGGAGAATCCAGGACAGAACATATAGACCTATGTACCTGTAGGGTGTCACTATGGAGAATCAGGACAGAACATATAGACCCATGTACCTGTAGGGTGTCACTATGGAGAATCAAGACAGAACATATAGACCCATGTACCTGTAGGGTGTCACTATGGAGTATCTAGGACAGAACATATAGACCCATGTACCTGTAGGGTGTCACTATGGAGAATCCAGGACAGAACATATAGACCCATGTACCTGTAGGGTGTCACTATGGAGAATCTAGGACAGAACATATAGACCCATGTACCTGTAGGGTGTCACTATGGAGAATCTAGGACAGAACATATAGACCCATGTACCTGTAGGGTGTCACTATGGAGAATCCAAGACAGAACATATAGACCCATGTACCTGTAGGGTGTCACTATGGAGAATCTAGGACAGAACATATAGACCCATGTACCTGTAGGGTGTCACTATGGAGAATCCAAGACAGAACATATAGACCCATGTACCTGTAGGGTGTCACTATGGAGTATCTAGGACAGAACATATAGACCCATGTACCTGTAGGGTGTCACTATGGAGAATCCAAGACAGAACATATAGACCCATGTACCTGTAGGGTGTCACTATGGAGTATCTAGGACAGAACATATAGACCCATGTACCTGTAGGGTGTCACTATGGAGAATCCAAGACAGAACATATAGACCCATGTACCTGTAGGGTGTCACTATGGAGAATCCAAGACAGAACATATAGACCCATGTACCTGTAGGGTGTCACTATGGAGAATCCAAGACAGAACATATAGACCCATGTACCTGTAGGGTGTCACTATGGAGAATCCAAGACAGAACATATAGACCCATGTACCTGTAGGGTGTCACTATGGAGAATCCAGGACAGAACATATAGACCCATGTACCTGTAGGGTGTCACTATGGAGAATCTAGGACAGAACATATAGACCCATGTACCTGTAGGGTGTCACTATGGAGAATCCAAGACAGAACATATAGACCCATGTACCTGTAGGGTGTCACTATGGAGAATCCAAGACAGAACATATAGACCCATGTACCTGTAGGGTGTCACTATGGAGAATCTAGGACAGAACATATAGACCCATGTACCTGTAGGGTGTCACTATGGAGAATCCAAGACAGAACATATAGACCTATGTGTACCTGTAGGGTGTCACTATGGAGAATCCAAGACAGAACATATAGACCTATGTACCTGTAGGGTGTCACTATGGAGAATCCAAGACAGAACATATAGACCTATGTACCTGTAGGGTGTCACTATGGAGAATCCAAGACAGAACATATAGACCCATGTACCTGTAGGGTGTCACTATGGAGAATCTAGGACAGAACATATAGACCCATGTACCTGTAGGGTGTCACTATGGAGAATCTAGGACAGAACATATAGACCCATGTACCTGTAGGGTGTCACTATGGAGAATCCAAGACAGAACATATAGACCCATGTACCTGTAGGGTGTCACTATGGAGTATCTAGGACAGAACATATAGACCCATGTACCTGTAGGGTGTCACTATGGAGAATCCAAGACAGAACATATAGACCCATGTACCTGTAGGGTGTCACTATGGAGAATCTAGGACAGAACATATAGACCCATGTACCTGTAGGGTGTCACTATGGAGAATCCAAGACAGAACATATAGACCCATGTACCTGTAGGGTGTCACTATGGAGTATCTAGGACAGAACATATAGACCCATGTACCTGTAGGGTGTCACTATGGAGAATCCAAGACAGAACATATAGACCCATGTACCTGTAGGGTGTCACTATGGAGAATCCAAGACAGAACATATAGACCCATGTACCTGTAGGGTGTCACTATGGAGAATCCAAGACAGAACATATAGACCCATGTACCTGTAGGGTGTCACTATGGAGAATCCAAGACAGAACATATAGACCTATGTACCTGTAGGGTGTCACTATGGAGAATCCAGGACAGAACATATAGACCCATGTACCTGTAGGGTGTCACTATGGAGTATCTAGGACAGAACATATAGACCCATGTACCTGTAGGGTGTCACTATGGAGAATCCAAGACAGAACATATAGACCCATGTACCTGTAGGGTGTCACTATGGAGAATCTAGGACAGAACATATAGACCCATGTACCTGTAGGGTGTCACTATGGAGAATCCAAGACAGAACATATAGACCCATGTACCTGTAGGGTGTCACTGTGGAGAATCCAAGACAGAACATATAGACCTATGTACCTGTAGGGTGTCACTATGGAGAATCCAAGACAGAACATATAGACCCATGTACCTGTAGGGTGTCACTATGGAGAATCCAAGACAGAACATATAGACCTATGTACCTGTAGGGTGTCACTATGGAGAATCTAGGACAGAACATATAGACCTATGTACCTGTAGGGTGTCACTATGGAGAATCTAGGACAGAACATATAGACCCATGTACCTGTAGGGTGTCACTATGGAGAATCCAAGACAGAACATATAGACCCATGTACCTGTAGGGTGTCACTATGGAGAATCCAAGACAGAACATATAGACCCATGTACCTGTAGGGTGTCACTATGGAGTATCTAGGACAGAACATATAGACCCATGTACCTGTAGGGTGTCACTATGGAGAATCCAAGACAGAACATATAGACCTATGTACCTGTAGGGTGTCACTATGGAGAATCTAGGACAGAACAGATAGACCTATGTACCTGTAGGGTGTCACTATGGAGAATCCAAGACAGAACATATAGACCTATGTACCTGTATGGTGTCACTATGGAGAATCCAAGACAGAACAGATAGACTTATGTACCTGTAGGGTGTCACAATGGAGTATCTAGGACAGAACATATAGACCCATGTACCTGTAGGGTGTCACTGTGGAGAATCCAAGACAGAACAGATAGACCTATGTACCTGTAGGGTGTCACTATGGAGAATCCAAGACAGAACATATAGACCCATGTACCTGTAGGGTGTCGCTATGGAGTATCTAGGACAGAACATATAGACCCATGTACCTGTAGGGTGTCACTATGGAGAATCCAAGACACAACATATAGACCTATGTAACTGTAGGGTGTCACTATGGAGAATCCAGGACAGAACATATAGACCCATGTACCTGTAGGGTGTCACTATGGAGAATCCAGGACAGAACAGATAGACCCATGTACCTGTAGGGTGTCACTATGGAGAATCCAGGACAGAACATATAGACCCATGTACCTGTAGGGTGTCACTATGGAGAATCCAGGACAGAACATATAGACCCATGTACCTGTAGGGTGTCACTATGGAGAATCCAAGACAGAACATATAGACCTATGTACCTGTAGGGTGTCACTATGGAGTATCTAGGACAGAACATATAGACCTATGTACCTGTAGGGTGTCACTATGGAGAATCCAGGACAGAACAGATAGACCCATGTCCCTGTTCAGTGGCAGAACATCTTACCTCGAAGCTTTCATTGTACTCTCTTTCTTCCGTGTGTTAGAATGACAGAATCCCTTGCAACTCCCCTTGTTTCACACAATGGCGGGTCACATGTCCGGCAAGCCTCTCTCGTATCAGACTCACATGGAACAGCTGATAACAGAGAGCACCTGATCTGCCTTTCCTTCGACTAATCATCACATTGCATTCTTCTTAACCTACTCTCGACCCGGGCTAGTCAATGTGAAGATACCTGTAATCTTGCTGCCTGTGATCTCTCAGCTCGAACAGGGTCTGCGCACATGAAGAATTTCCACTCTAGTTGAATCAGGAGTAGTGAACATTTATACCTATTCCTCCAGCGTTCTGTAATCTATGCTCCATTAAAGTTGAGAACGCATTGTTCGTAGCGGACTAAAGTAACTGAAACGGACATAAAATATTCACGCAACAACACGCTTTCAAATTGCCAACTCTTCGGAGGGTCCAGTCATCCATTCGTCTAAAGCGCCTTGATTCTCCGTACGGAGATGCCTCCCTTAACCATGTTAGGATCCAGTGATCATAAGTTCCTCATAGGATCCTCGATTTACTTAATCATAACCAATGTGCGCGTATGTATGTATGTATGTATGTATGTATGTATGTATGTATGTATGTATGTATGTATGTAATGAAATCCAAAGGTTAGGGAGAAATGCTCCTCAGGGAAAAATGTTTCGGGGGAAGGGTGTGGGGGGTGGTGGTGTGTGTCTCTCACACAATGAGAACATTACAGTGCTTCAAATCGCCGACCTCAACCCCATCGATCATTTGTGGGATAACCTCGACCGACGAGTACGTGACCGTCAGCCTTATTGATTTGATCTGAAAACTCTTTCAAAACGAATGCCGAAAGTAATCTTGATTTTTATTGCCAGACAGTGCATGCTCTTTGCTGCACAATTTCAACTGGAATGTGATTTCTGTTGCGTTGTGGTGATGCCTTTTTAATCCTTGTAAGAAATCACATGAAAATCAACTTTCTCAGGTAAAGTCGTTTTTTTACCTGTGCAATTGTGTAACATCATGTTCTCAACACTTTGTTACATATTTTGACGATTGTTTGAACACAATAGATAATTCATAGATTTTTAGAAATACAAAACGCCTATGCGTTTCTCTTTTTGGATAGTATATTTCCACCATATTTCATGTAGGCCTAAACATTGGAGATACAGTCAGATTTAGCACTGATCCAGTAGTAAGCTACCATCGTATACACCGCAATGTCGAATACAATACTCCAGAAGTTTTGCATAATTACCATAGGCGGATCCAGGAATTTTCAAAGGGTGAGAGAGGAGACCCTGATACCCCTGAACCCCCTCTTGGCTCCGCCAATACAAAACTTCAATGTGGTCTTTAGTCATTTTCAAAGGAGGTGGGGATGGGGGTTTCTTTAGGTCACCCACAGAAAGGTAGCGTAAATTCAGTGTAAATGTTATATATTCATATTTTAAAATATTAACGTAGACAAATAGTAATGTAAAAATTACTGCTCACCGATAGATGGAAATTGCAACATTGGAAACAAAAAGCTCCTGCAGTTTTCATCCATATATACATGGTCGTGGGGGCCATCTTACAAAGGAAGCGTCACTGATACTATAATTGAATTTGCCATCACCTTCTTGTTCATTATTTTACTAATATAATATCTATTATTCATCTTTTAATAAAACACCATTATCGCTAAAAAACGTAGAGATTTGTAAAGAAAGCGCATCAACAATAATACATGTTTTTAGACAAGCCACCATCCCCAAATTCCGTAGCGCGTCAACCGGTCGCCAACAACCACCGACGCAAATATCCTTTGTAGCACGTCAGGGAATATTGGCGGGGTATCGGGTTACCATGGTGACAGATTCCTAGTTTTGGAAGACAAGGCCTTTTATCAAACGCTTCCCCTATTGTGGCGACATCCATACATGTGGCAGAAAACAACAGCTTCACAATGGAGTCCATGTTAACTGTCCGGCTGAAGGATGAGCTGGCGTTCACGTCATCTGCACGGACACTGTCCCGCAGTTGAAGTGCACTACACGTTTTCAGTGTTTCATGCCTAGCTGACAGGATGCGGGTGCACGTTTCCTTGATCCTGAATATATGGACAGTTTCTGCTTTTGATTTATTTCCTAACCAGGACAAGGTACTCATAGGTAAGTTGAAATATTTTACTTTCCAGAATTTATTTTAAAAAATACAAATGGAAACAAAATATATGTTTTAGGAAACTTTACAAATCGCCTTAACTGTAACAGTTTTACACTTACATGCTAGTTTTAGACACCATCTGTGATCCTCTAGTTACTTTACAGTCCTTCGATATTTAACAACTTATATTTATTGAGTATGCAACACTTTTCTCGTCACTATATGGCTGAAATATTGCCGAGGTGACGTTAAATGTTAACTCACTCACTCATCTTTCACTGTTGCTTGAGTGGATGGGGTGGTAATGGACACAGCCGTCAAGGTTTGAATCCACGCTGCAACTACGATCATACACAGTGACTGATAAATGTAACTGATTATTTATCAGTGGGATGGTTTAGAAGCACAAAACTCCACATATTATTTTAAAGAATGTAAGGGTACTGCTGTGTGCTAGACTAAGAACAGGTTCTGTATAACGTCTATGTTCTAATTACAAAGTTTACACATTTCAATTTGATGTGATTGATTCGAATCTCGACAGTATCTGTTAGGTTGTATTTTGTGTTTGTTGTCTTAATAAATTATGGCAAAATATGTATTTTTTTCGAAACAAAGAAACTTTCGGTAGTTACATTATCTTTTACTCTGACGGTAATATAATCGTACGAAACCACTACGGTCTTCATTTAAGTACAGTTGCATGACCATATCATCATAATCAAGGGTGATCATTTTCAGTTATGAATATTTATCAAAATGATCTCATTATCTCAGTAAGGGAGTGGTGGTGGTGGTGGAATTGGGTTTAACGTCGTGCTTGAGAATATTTCGCTCATATGACGACGTGCATGCGTGTGTATGTGTATATGCGGCTGCTTGTACTAGCCCAGACTGAAGCTGGTTTTATAGTGCTAGCCCACTGAGAAACCATGCACACTGAAGCATGAATACCCCACTCAGACACATTATACTGACTCCGAGCCGACCAGTCCTTGTTGTACCCAATAATGCCGAGCGCAGGCAGGGACCACCAAGTACCATATTTTAACGTCTTTTGGTATGACGCGGCCGGGATCGAACCCGCGACCTTCTGCTCTCCGGGCGGACGCTCTAACCACTACACCACGGAGGCGGTCAGTAAGGGAGTGGTCAGACTCGGGTTGACACATATAATCTTATCCCAGTAGATCGATTCTCATCATGTCACTGGATTGTCTGGTCCAGCCTCAATTACCGTATAGCACAAACAAACATTGCATCAGTTTCTTGGTATATGACTACATTGATTAAACAATAGTATCTGGGGTTTTTTGTTATCAGGATCGGTGTCGGTGGACCTGCTGTGGGAGTCGACTTGGGAGCCCGGGGGTCGGGACAGACGCTCAGCCCTAATTCTTCCAGGCCAACTTGCCTTTCAGTTTTCCATGGGTGGAGAAAAGGTTGAACTTAACCTTAAGAGAAATCCCGACCTCAACACTCACACCCCAGCGTTTGTTGTTCGTGGGGGCCAGGTTGTGTCCGGCTCACAGTATGGGGAACCAGACACAGTAAGTCATTCACAATTACAATCCGACTAAGTTCTAATAAGAACACAATTTCTCCTTTCATATCATATTGCACATATTAGTCGCCTGGATCCATTATGTAACTGGGTGAATATCACTATCGCATGACTACGTTCACCTGTAGCATGTTGGTTATACACTACCGCTAAGTAATTAAAGGGAAATATACACCCCTATTTCATGCTGGTTAAAAATGGAATAAAAAGAAAATGTTGATTCATTGGATATGGGTATTATTGTGGGTTTTTGACCTTCTGGTTACAGCGTTACGGCGACTACTTTCTGCGTTACAACGTTTTGATAACGTTTGTAATTTCGGGTCAAATCCAATTTTCACGTGTATACACATAGGAAGTCTACATCTAAATAACCTTTTTTGCTTAATTTATAGATATTTTTACCACTATATGACTCAGGTCCACTCATTGCTGTTTTTTTTGGTTTAAGATTGAATTTCTCGATTTCAATGTTTCTCTTTGAAATAAATTTTTCTACAGAAAATATCTCTTTTAATACCTTTTTATAATTACTGAATTTTGGAATTGATTTTTTTATATTACATAAATTGATATGTTTTTTGGCAGAGATAACGATTTGATTTAGTAATGCATCATTATGCAATGAACCAAACCAAATCAAATATTTTGTGATGTTTATTTTTCGTAGTAAATAGTTATTAATCCAGAGTTCTAGATCATTCCAGAATTTCATGCTTTCACAGCATTCCCAATAAACATGACAAATGCTCTCAGAAACATCATTGCAAAAACTACACAAATCATTGTCAATCAGGTTCATTCTCGATAATTCCTTTTTAGTATAAATAACTCTTTGCAAAAATCTGTATTGAAAATTAAGAAGTTTAACGTCTTTCAATCCATGTCTATAAAAGTTAAAAAAATTGTACCAATCAAACTCACAATCATTGAATATAATGTCCCATTTAGTACAAATTTCAAGTTTATCAATTTTAGAAATCAGCTTGTCATAAAATATTCTTGAACCTTTGGAGAGCTTTAACATATTTCTTTGGTAAACATTGATGTATAAATTGTAGGAAAGAATGATTCTTGTCCTTTTAATAACATTTTTCCAAAATCAGGTAAGATGTGAAGTAGATAGTTATAGTCTAATAGTGTCCCTCTTATTTTGTATTTTATCTTTAACTTATCAAATGGCATAAATCCATGTTCATCACATAAATCCTTTACTGTCAATAAGCTCTTATCCGCCCAGTGAATAATAACATGGCAAGGATTTTTATAATTATGATTGAGCCATAATGGTTCTACAAAGAATGTAATCAATATTGTCAGAATCAGCATTGAACTTTTTGCAATAATTGTTCCATGCTTTTAAAACATCCTTCCAA